AATCCTGGACAACGACAAGAAAGGCTAAATCAAAATTAATAAATAGTTCATATTTTTGTCTGCAGTATGCAACTGTGGTGTATTTTTTTATTTGTATATTGTTGCTTCGGCAACATTTTTATGAAATAAAGAGGGCCCCTATAGGCTCGCCATTTTTTATTTAACCAATTGTGTGAATGAGTTCTACTTATTAACCTATGCTTTTACTGTTACTATTGGGATTGAATTCTGATATTTATTCCCCCAACATATAAGACAATATGTTTTTGTATTGACATAATCGCCACTCTCCCATAAATCCTCTATATGATTTCTTATATTTTCTTTTTTATGGTTTTTATCATATAAAGGGCAGGGTACAGATCTATTAAAATCAAAATAATTACAATATTTAAAACTATGCTTCAAAGTTAAATAAGGAAATCACTCTAATACTATTTTAATAACATGTTTTTGTTTCTCTTCTGGGTCTTTAGATAGAATAGAAATTGATGATCGAAGTTTGGATGGTGTAGGCTGAACATCTATCTGTAGTACAAATAATGTCTTTTTTTCAGCATCCTTTTCGATTTGTGAAGACTCAAAGGTTTTAGAGTTTATCCAGGGATCGAATCCAGTTTTATTCTTATACCTTTTATATAACCTAGAATGAATTTTATCTGTCAAAATACCTGGCAATTCTGTTAATTTAACTTCCCATTCCAAATATTCGGGAGTCAATATTTTATTAGCTTTTGTCTGTGTATCTATGTTCCCATTTTATGTATATGATTGCATATCTTTCTAAATTAACAATAACCAACAAAAAATAAATATGCCTCAGAAGACTTAAGCGAATTGTGCTAGTATAAGTTTAAAGTTCATACTGTTACCTCAATTTCAATTCCACGCTGTTCATATTTAAGATTATAAGATCCAATTTCATATCTGCCTTCTATACCATTTTCATCATCATGATCTAACTTGCATAGCGGGCATAAAGATTCATCAGTAATTTCATAATAATCATTGTTTCCATCACTACCTTCTCGATATAAATTAGGATATTGCTTTAATGTTTTATTATGGAAATAAGCATGATCACGAGTTGGATTAGACAGTATACTTGCCTTAGTCTTCGGTAAATCTTTAACTTTCTCATTTATCATATCTTCTGAATTAGAGGTATGAGACGATTCAGTAGGTATACTTGCCTTAATATTTGAGTTAAATGATTCGGTCACATGCACGTTCTGTTTCAGAACGCCAATCTCTTTTTGGCAATTATTTTTATCGTCTGGGTTAGTTTGTTTTTTGGGAAAATGATTTATGATATTTTGAATCTGATCATCTTTTAAACTTGAAATAGCACTTGCACTATATGCTATTTGCCTAATTTTATCTATTTCTATTCCTTCAAATAATGTATATACTTTTTTAGCTTTAAAACTTCTCTTACGCAAATTTACATCACTAATATCGGGAAGAAGCAATTTGATTTCATTGTATACCAAAGTTCTCGCTGATTGATCGTCAATTTTATTCTTGGATTTAATATAATTAACTCGATTTTCATACGCTTTGGTGTAACAATACCAACATAAATTCTCCTTTTGTCTAGTTTTCATCGCTATATTAAACAAGTCTACTATAACCTGAGCCGTAACTTCATCAGAACCTATTAATATTTTTTCTAAAGATCAGGAATTTGCACATTTATTTCTTGTATGGTAAGATTTTCCTTAGCACAGACAGATAACTCATGCATTAGGCCTCATTCTACTTTCTGATCATAAGGGATCTTTATTTCGGGTGAAATAGCATTGTGTGTTTGATCAATGGACATTTGCTCCGATTCAGCAGATGTTTTTTGTATCGATTCTTGATCTTGAAATGTCTTTTCTTTATTTCTCTCTCTCATTATATTACTAACTATTTCCTTGTTTTGCAAATTCAGAAAATCATCAACCGCCTTATCTTCTAACGATTTAGGCTTCATATAGATAGGTGATGTGAAGCATTGATTCTTCGACTCCTGGCATATATCCGGATTAGATGCGTCATCAGATATATTTTCTACCTGTTTAGGAGTATTGTTAGAATTTATTTCAGGGGAAATATCACTTTGTACCTGCTCTAGATTTAAAGAGTCGGTGCTACCATTCTCATCAGAGTGACCATTAATATGTGGTAAAATAGGTATTTGTGAAGCATCATTAGTAGTCCGATTTTGTTTTATGATTTGTTTTAGTCTTGTATTTTCGATCCTAAGATTAGCAATTTCTTCGATGATCCGTTTTAGTTGGGTATTTTCAGTTTCAAGTTTGGTAACTCGTTGTCTCAATAATTCAAGCTCTGATGACATGATTGATTAAAATTTTTATATAAGGCATAGATTTATTCAAAATAAAAAATCACGTGTGCGTTCTATTTCGGAACGCGGATCACTTTGCCAAGAAATTCTCGATCATATGCGAGTTAATATACATCGATATCAATACAGTACAATAAAACAAATTCACGAAATACACATGCAAAAGTAGACTAATTATGTATACAAAATCACCCACCAGGGCCAGCTTTATTAATATAAAATAAAGTACAGGATAAAATACAAAACAGAATTTGCGATTTAGACAAAAATGAGGCTTCGATCTGAGATTAATTTTCTGACAAAAAAAAGATAATATGAGTTACTTGGCCAACCTTGATTTAGAACACTTCGTTATTAACAACACTGGTATTTATCAATAAGTCAGATACGTTAGATTATATTTCTTTACTAAAAAATTATTAAAATATACATAAAGTAGGAACGTAATTAATGGTTATATAAGGAATAAAAAATTTGATATTAAAGAATGAAAAAGTAGAAACGTAATTAATGGTATATAAGGAATAAAAAAGGATTTATGTAAGGAATGACAGGGGTAAGTATGTATGTAACGAAATTAATGGCGAAAAACAAGGTTATGATAAAAAGGAAATTCAAAGGATCTATTTTGGAAATTGTCGAGAGCGATATTAAGGATGATTAAGGGAATATGAGATTTATCGGTTAGGATGATAGGGAAACAGGATTTTTTTGCTGTATCTATTGCTTTATCCGTAAAGTTAAGAAAGGGGGACACTAGGATACCGATCGTTGTATCCGGGTCTTCGTCACAGACAACACCTTTAAGTTCTCTAACGACGGCAGGCCCTGTATTACTTATAATTAATATAAATAACCTTTTCTTAATTAACATAAAATCTAAACCAAACCTATGTCATTAATCCAGTTCTTGCACTGGATCACGAGCTTGATCCTTCCAACAAAGCAAATTATATCTATCCCGCCGTCGTTTGTCCCCCTATCAACGATAATTATAATAGATGAGTGAATGTGTCATCATTATTAACAACTAAAGAACATGCACGCCGGACCGGGATATTCTACGGTGATGTGCTTTCAGTAGTTAGCGTGTATCCTATTCATCATTAATTCCTGACAGAGCATGCGTCATTTC